AAAAACACTACTTTGAAATTTCCTAACCATTTGCACGAATCAATCCCTTCAAAGCACACAATTGCTCAAACTAAGCTAGTCTATGCAAATCAAACTATTCAGCACAATAAAAAAGGCCATCAAAAATTCAAAAAAAAAATAGTTAATTGATGCACTAAATTGGCAACCATAAAAGAGGAATTCCATAGATATATATCAATCTCAAAACAGTAGATCTAGGCAAAAAAAAAAAATTGCCGAATCTGAAGAAGTTCAATTAAATGCTTGTCACTAGAAATTATAGATCCAAGAAGAGATACAAACATGCCTTTCAGTCCCTTTGCCTATCATTTTCTTCATTACCCTCATTTTGGTGAGACAAAAGGTGATAGCTTGAATGTGAAGAGGAACGATTATTTAGGGAAAAAGCTTGCCCACTGTTAGCATCCGAAACCTACAATTCAATAGAAAAAAATTCAGGGATAACTAAAATTTCAAAAATTCAACCAAAAGAAATGGAAAAACCAAAAAAAAAAAGATTTGAGAGATTAAACTTTGAAAATAGTGAAACCCGAACAAAGAGGTATAGATTAAATTTCGAGTATTAAATACCTCTTGACGGGCCACATGTGCCTATTAAAAAGTAAAATTCAATGAGTATAGATTTCCATGAAAATTGAAAAGAACAAAAACATAAGCTCACCAAAAACCAAAGTAGAAAAGACGAGAAACTACAACTTAAGACTGGAGCTACAAAAAAGAATAAACTATAAGCTCAAAATTTTTTTTTATTGATTTTTTTTTTACTGATGGCCACATTTGTTAGAGCAAAACTCCCAATGAAAAATCTATTTGTCATCTGAGCAGTGCTAAGGGCACTCACCTCCTGCACTCTTCGGCCAACACTCCTTTCATTGGGCCACATTATTTCAGTTCACTAAGAGGTTGCACTTCAGAGCTTAAACAACCTTACATGGCCTAATGAAAGGGGGAGTGTTGGCCGGAGAGTGCAGGAGGCAAGTGCCCCTAGCACTGGCCTTGTCATTTACCAAACCATATATATGCAAGAAGACAAAGAACTCCTTAAGAAATAGTGAAAACTGAAAACTAAAATAATAATAGCATCAGAAAGTAATTAAATGGTTCAACAAAGAAGTTTACCTCTCTATCCAATCTGTTGGCAGCAGCTAATTCGTTGGCAGCTTGTAAAATATCTGTGATATTCTCGTTAGGGAATCTTGCCTTCATTAGCTGCATTAATCCACTCAACATATTCTCTACCTCACTCAACCTTTGCTCAACATTGCTGTTCGTAGAGGTGGAAGGGATAGATTTTTTGGAAGTTGGGACCTTGCCTAAGCAGCGAACCCTCCCTTTCTTGTCAGATCCCTTCACCTTAGAGAATATATCATTTTGACAAGATGTAGTTTCCTCCAATGCACTTGCAGAAGAAGTAGACACACTCATGCAGTTTTTAAGTTGTTTCTATGACATTTAACCCAAAATGACTTATATATATATAAGATGAAGAAAGGTATACATCATTAAAAACATAGAATTTATGTGTTTACTAACCATCACTTGGCTTGCCTTTTCACTTACAAGTCCCCCATCCTTTTTCATTCGACTTTGAATGTAAAGTTCAGCCCTTGATGGCTTTCTTCCTTAAGCAAAGCTTTCCTAGAAAATATACAAGCAGTAAATAATTAAATACCACATTGACTTTGACAGTAAAGCATGTAAACTACTTTTTTAATAAAGTAGCTTGAACAGAAAAAATCACCTTCTCATTGACAAATCGTGCAAAAGTCCTAGTGCCTAAGCAATGGGGCTCTTCAAGTTTTTGCCTGTTTTCTTTATTCTGTTTGCTAATTTTCTGGAAGAAAACAAAAAGTAGCAATTATTTGTGATAACAGAAAATTAGGAAAAATGCCAACAGCATAGCAAAATTGTCATACCTCTCCCTTCTCACTACGCCAATATTCAACAAGCACATGAAATTGCTCCTTATCAACTCGAGGATCATTAATTTTTTCATACATTTCATCTACTGTTAGCAACAAATCAAATCCTGCACTTTTTAGCTCATTTTTATAACTTTTCCATTTTTCATTTACATCGGTCATAATCCAACTCTTAATTTGCTCCTTGCGGCTTTCCTCAATAAGGAACTTGGACTAAAATTAGAAACCACAAAAATAAAACGAGATTAAAAAAGACTGATAATATTAATGGTAGAATATCATAACAGTGAAGAGTCCTCTTTGGCCCCACAAAACAAATAGCACAGATCTTTAAGTTCAACCCAAACCTCTATAACCAAATAGTACAACCAATAACCAACACAAATCACTGGACATGTAGCCACACCAGAGGCTGATCCACCATAACTAAAACTGAGTCTTATTCATCCTACATAGATGATTATAAAATCTAAACCAAATAAGCTCCTTTTTCCACATGTAAAAAACGAAACTTTCACCCAAAGAAACTTATACCAAACAGAAACTCAAGGCCAATTCAAACCCTAATCTCAAGCAACTAGTTAACCATCACAATAAAAATAATAATAGAATTGGAAAAGAAATCAGTTTTCCATATCTGACTATTTTTAACACAATCAGAGACTAACCCAATCATAAGAATTACAAATGTGAACCAAATAAAAGAAAAGCATCCTATGTTAAGCAAAAGAAAAAGAAACAAAATGAACATTAGAAAAGATGGAACCTTTTATTAATATTACC